TTCTTTCCATTTGGGATTTGGAATATGAGTTTCTGTTTTCTCATGGTCCTGGTATCAGGCGTGTGGCCTAGTCCTGCTCAGTCTGCTCTCGTCTTTGCCTCTCTTCCATCTCTACTCCTTAGGGGGAGGTGTTGTCGCTGAGACAACAGCAGTCTGTGCACTGTGGGAGGGTAGGAGTTGCTATTTCCCTCTATTTGTGTCCTTTCTTCTCTGGGGTAAGACATCATGCTATGTAACAAGACAATGACAGTCCCAAGTTAGAGGCCTCAGCCTGCTGCTTATTGTGTGATTCTCTAAACGTCAGGGGCTGACGTTTACCCTCCGTCCTGGGGAGGTGACAGCACTGGTGGGACCCAGTGGGTCTGGGAAGAGCACAGTGGCTGCCCTGCTGCAGAATCTGTACCAGCCCACCGGGGGGCAGCTGCTCCTGGATGGGGAGCCCCTTCCCCAGTATGAGCACCACTACCTGCACAGACAGGTGAGCAAGAAGGTGGCATGGGGAGGTTGGGGAGCATCAAGTCAGAAGAGCATTCTCACTGCTCTGAAAGGAGGGCTAGGGGACAATAGGAGACCTTGGCTGAAGGGGTGGGTGTGGCAGGAGAGAGGGTGTATGATTTTGTGATACGAACTCAATAAAGATTTTGGGTCTTCAGTCTCTAGATAACCTTGCTTCTGTGTTCCTTATTCTATGACTCACTGTCATATTCATTCCAGGTGGCTGCTGTGGGACAAGAGCCACAGCTATTTGGAAGAAGTTTTCAAGAAAATATTGCCTATGGCCTGATCCAGAAGCCAACTATGGAGGAAATCATAGCTGCAGCAATGGAGTCTGGAGCCCATAGCTTCATCTCTGAACTCCCTCAGGGCTACAACACAGGTGCCCTCTCTGTTCACACACCACCCAGCCATCTTCACCTTTGCTGAAACCCTGATAGGCTTACATCAGGCACCTACTCAGCAGTTCTTCCTGCCTCACTGACTTCAGTTTGAAGTTGTAAGATCATACTCCTATGACTCCTTCACCCTCCCATGCTCAGAACTCCTTTACCTTCCCAGAACCTTCCCCTTGTAGCTGCATCATCCATCCTTCGTGAGGGGGATGCATGTGCACATGGGTATGCATGTGCTCACCCAGCTCTCTTCTTGGTTCTCGTCTCTGCAGAGGTGGGTGAGGCTGGGAGCCAGCTGTCAGGTGGTCAGCGGCAGGCAGTGGCCTTGGCTCGAGCACTGATCCGGAAACCTCAGGTGCTTATCCTGGATGATGCTACCAGTGCCTTGGATGCAAACAGCCAGTTACAGGTGAGTAAGTCATCTTTCTTAATGCCTACATCCCATCCAGTCGTCCTTTCTGCACTTATTCTGTGTTATGCTAGCATCATCATTATTCAGATCAGTCTTTGCAGTTCTCAGTTCCCATTAGCTTCTCCCCAAGACGCCTAGAACCAGTTAAGAGATTATATACAAACTGAATCTCTGAAGCCAAACATAAGGAAAAGACCATCCTAACAATGTTAACATTGATATTAATTGAGCTTTTACTATGTGCCAACATGCTGCTAGGCCCTTCATATGTAGTGGCTCACTCATTTCCTCATCCTGAATGTGTCTAAGTGGGGCACTATTATCCTCATTCTACAGATGATAAAGTGGAAGCTAAGAGAAGTAGTATAACCTACGTCATTCACCTGTTGAATAGCAGAGCCTGGACCCAGAGTCAAGTCCACCTGACCTGAATGCTTATGCTCCTTACCACTAAATTAAATGTCCTTAAAACAGCATATATAAATTCCCACTCCAGAGGTGAGAGGAGAGACTACTCAATACCCTTCACTCTTCAGGGGTATCATTATAGGGCTCTGACTTTTATTCCACTGTTGCCACCTCATGTAAACAGTCTTTAACAAATCAAGGTTTGATAGAAAAGCACTCAGATTGAGAATCTTTGATCCTGGGGTTGTTGGCAGAGGCGGCAGTGGTCCTGGTGAGGCTGTTGCAGCTCTGGGCACACAGATGCCCCCTGGGCTGGGAGTGGTCCCCAGCTCTGACAGAATCTGTCTTTTCTCAGTTGGAGCAGCTCCTGTATGAAAGCCCTGAGAGGTGCTCTCGGTCTGTGCTTCTCATCACCCAGCATCTCAGCTCAGTGGAACAGGCTGACCACATCCTCTTTCTAGAAGGAGGCACCATCTGTGAGGCGGGAACCCACCAGCAGCTCATGGAGAACAGGGGACACTACCGGAACATGGTGCAGGCTGCTAGCGGGTCAGATGCTCCGGAATGAAAGACTTGTCAGACCTGCACGCTCCATCTTTTTTTCTCCTTTCTATAGTGGAGAATTTGGGAATAGAGATCTTACCAGAGCTGCAAAGCAGACAGCTACTTCTAGGAGGAGTGACACCCTAAAGTTAACTTCCTTGGTGATGCATGCAAGTCTGCCCATGAGTGTTACCCTCTCAACAAGCTCCTCTTGATAATGCACATTTCCTGGAAGAAAATAGTATTGATAACTCCTTAGTGTGACTGAGTTTAGAGTCAGGGTTGGTATGGATAGCACCCTGAAAATGAGGAGAAATATTTAGAATATACCAAAAGGGAAGATCAGCTACTTTCCAGTATGACCAGAGGCATATGCTGGATCATAAATGCCCTGTGGGTTCTGATATTTATAATAAAATCAGTGTTTTGTACTGTGGTTTCTTGTGTTTTCAGCACCCTAAATAGCTCATCGTTTTGCCGCACGCTTCTCAGGAATCAGGTGTCTTTCCCTTCAGCATCCTCAATGTTTCACAGCCCCAAGCGCGCCATCCTCCCTTAAGTTTGCTGTTGCACCCTCCACTTAGACAATCCCCAGCATCTACCCCCAAGGATGAGCCCGACAGGGAAACAGCACCCTCCAAGGCACGGCCGCTGCAGCGCGGAGCCGTGGCCCTTCTGCGGTGGAAGATGGAGGAAGAGCAAGCGCGTGAGCTGAGGAGCTCAGCTTCACCAGCTCGTCCGCCCCGGTCCTTTCCTGCAGAGCTCATCCGGCTCTGCAGTGGCACCTGGAGGGGTAACCTCAGCACAGTGGGCGAGGTTGCGTAGTAAATCTTTTCCATTCAGAAAGAGCCATAGGGGTGTGACGTTAAGAGTTGCTGGGCAGATTAGGCCAACACAGGTTGCAAGGAGAGGCGGGGTCGGAGGAGGTAAACTCGGCGGTGCTCAGTGGAGCAAGAATTATTAGAGGAGGCGCGTGCAGAAGGGGCAGTGTTTGTGGGTGGCTACAGGTTAGGGAGACCGTTGAATGGGAGAGGCCTCTAGCAGTGCTCGGGTCCTGGAAGCCTGTGACAGTTGCTCTCATAGACCCAGACATGCCCTGCCTCTCCCACAGGAGCGAAGGTACCCAGCCTCATCATCGTGCTGACAGGTGGACAACTGCTGCCAGAATCATTTGCAGAGACACAGGTTGAAGTGAGTCAAGCCCATCGTTACCAGCCTTTTGGTCCACATATTTGGACCAAATTTATTATACCCAACACTTCCTCTTTCTCAGGCTGCAAAATCCAAGCAGTTGGGGGCAACTCTGTATTTCGTGGGTGTGCAAAATTATCAGCTATCCCAGGTAATTCTGAGCAGGTAACGAGGGGTCACTTGTGAGTCTAGCTGAGGAGAACCTCTTTAGTGTAAACTGCGTTTAGAGCCAGGGTTGGTATGGGTAGCACCCTGAAAATGAGGAGAAATATTTAGAATATACCAAAAGGGAAGATCAGCTACTTTCTAGTATGACCAGAGGCATATGCTGGATCATAAATGCCCTGTGGGTTCTGATATTTGTAATAAAATCAGTTTTGTACTGTGGTTTCTTGTGTTTTCAGTGCCCTAAACGGCTCACCGTTTTGCAGCACGCTTCTCAGGAATCAGGTGTCTTTCCCTTCAGCATCCTAAATGTTTGACAGCTCCAAGCGCGCCATCCTCCCTTAAGTTTGCCGTTGCACCCTCCACTTAAAACAATCCCCAGCATCTACCCCCAAGGATGAGCCCGACAGGGAAACAGCCCCCTCCAAGGCACAGCCGCTGCAGCTCGGAGCCCTGGCCCTTCTGCGGTGTAAGATGGAGGGTGAGCGAGGCTGGAGGAAGCGCAAGCGCGTGAGCTGAGGAGCTCAACTTCACCAGCTCGCCTGCCCCGGTCCTTTCCTGCAGGGTTCATCGGGCTCAGAAGTGGCACCTTCAGGGGTCATCTCAGCGCAGTGGGCGGGGTTGCGTAGTAAATCTTTCCCATTTAGGAGGGACCATGGCCATGACGTTAACAGTTGCAGGCCAGATTAGGCCAACACGGGTTGCAAGGAGGCGGGGTTCGAGGAGTTAATGTCGGCGGTGCTCAAGTGGAGCAAGAATTATGAGAGGAGGCCCGGGCAGAAAGGAGAGTGCTTGTGGGTGGCTACAGGTTAGGGAGACCGTTTAACGGGGAGGCCTCTGAAGGACCACGTCGTAAGAGTCAGAGACCGCGCCCGGCTCCCTGATGCCCTCTCCCCCCCACGCTGCGGGTATATTCTGTGGCGGGTTACCACAGGACCTGTCCTCAACACTCAGTGCCCGCGCCGCCCACTCCCATACTCCTATTCTTCCCCTACTTTTATAAAATGATGCGCATATGAACACCCCCTCCTCCTCCCGCGAGGTGAAACTGCTCCCAGCCGCTTGCAGACATTCCCCTTTCTGCCTGAGGCCGCGCCTTTAGCTGACAGGACCCCTACCCACTCGGTAACGGTTCCCAGAGGATGCCCGGCTGTTGGTGTATCTCACTCCAATGTCATCGCCAAGGGGGCTTTCGAAGTCGTTCCCTCGCTTTTATTCCCTTCTTTTGACATTCTATCACCCTCTGTTCCCCCAACCTCCATGGAGCAGGGGCAGAGGCGCCTGTCCGCTCTGTGATACTAATGGTCGCCAGACAGCCTCCGGCTTCTCGGAAAGGGCAGGGGGATGTGGAAAAAATTCTGGTCCCTCCCCTTAAGGCTGAGGGCTTTCGCTTTCACTTCCTCCTCAGAAGGCGGACAGATCTCCGGGTGCGAGGCGGTCATGGCGCTGCTGGAGGTGTGCGGAGCCCCCCGAGGGCAGCGGGAGGACTGGGCTTTCCCTGTCCTGAGAAGCCAGCTTCGCTCGGAGCGCGGACACTACAGTTTCTCTATGCGATCTCCGGAGCTCGCCCTCCCCCGGGGAATGCAGGTCAGGGCTGTAAAAGAACCCGGTGGAAGGCGAGAAGCAGGGCGCAAAAGATTGGAGGGTCGGCCTGCAGAGTGCCCGGAGGCGCAGAAACGCGGAGTTTGGGCATCCTTTGGTTGAGGAGAGCCACATCCCGGGCCCGCGCCAGGAAAGAGGCCACAGGGGAATCGGGGCTGACCACCTGGGGGTTTGTAAGCGCAGATTAGGTAGAGTTAGAGGTGCGGTGGGGGCTCCCATCGGAAGACGAGAGAGCTGACCTGCCTGGTCTCCATCACACACACATCTCCAAGCCTTTCTCACGGGGCTATCCCATGATACAGGGCTGTATAGTGAGTGCATGGAAAACCTATCAACTTTGGCCATTAGCCTCTCCTTAACCACTCACTACTTGTGGCTGGATTAAGTCAGTGTAGGTCTCTCAACTTCCTTCTGTAAAATGGCATAGTAGTAATAAAACGTGTTTTGTGAGGGTTAAATTACCAATGAAAAGAAAACACATTATAAAATCACCCTTAAAATGTTTAGTTATGGTAACGTTCTTTCATTTCTTTCGTGCTGGATGAAGGAAAAGGTTGGTTCTTTTCCTTTCACCAAGCCGCCATTTCCTTGGAGAGACTGGTTATTAACTGTTCCATTTAGTGATGGTTTGAGAATTTCTGCCTGTCTCCTCACTCTCCCGCTCCCTAAAACCCTTCCCTTGCAGTCTCCGACTTCAGAAGTTTTCAGAGCCCCTTCCTCTGCCTTTTCTCTTGTATTAGCCCACCGAATTCCTCAAGTCTCTGGGTGGGAATGGAGAAAAGAACGGTAAGATTGAGATGGCCCATGGCACTACCACGCTCGCCTTTAAGTTCCAGCATGGAGTGATTGTGGCGGTGGATTCTCGGGCCACATCCAGGAATTACATTAGTGAGTATGTCTGCTCCAGCAAGCGGGTTCCGCGGGGGGCTGGGCCGTTTTCTCGGCAGGAGCCCAACGTCTGCACAAAAGCAGAAGCAGATAATGACTTGGGACACACAGGGAGAGCTGTGGGGTCATTCCTTTCCTCTTGAAACTCCATCTTCCAGGCACCATAAGGATGAACAAGGTGATTGAGATTAACCCGTACCTGTTGGGCACCATGTCTGGTTGTGCGGCGGACTGTCAGTACTGGGAGCGTCTGCTGGCCAAGGAGTGCAGGTAGGTGAGGTCTCTCATCCGCCTTCTAAGCCTAGTGGTCAGTCTGGATCCTGGGTCCTCCACATCACTCCTCCTTACCCTTTCCTCCTGTTCCAATGTAGCATCTTAGTGCTAATGTAGTATTTCACAAAACAGCCTTTTGATGATTAAAACAACAAAAAAAATCCCTTCTCCCAAATCTCATCTTGAGCTCCTGCCACTGAACCCGATAATCTCTCAATTATTTAGCGCTGACATCATCCACCCTGGTTGGATAGTAGCATTTACTATGATTTCTTTATGTGGTTTAGGTTTAAATTCCAAATGTCTCCCTGATCCTGAGATCCTACAAAGCCAATCCTTTCAAATGCTTTCCTCCTCAGTCATTTCCTACCCATTGAGTGGGCTGCTCAGAGAGCTAGCCTAGTCCTGACACCTCTAAGGCCTCTCCCCCGACCACCCTGTCTTCACCCAGGCTGTATTATCTGCGGAATGGGGAGCGTATCTCAGTGTCAGCAGCCTCTAAACTGCTCTCTAACATGATGTGCCAGTACCGCAGCCTGGGCCTCTCCATGGGCAGTATGATCTGTGGCTGGGACAAGAAGGTGGGTGCCCTCCATTCTCCATATTCCCCCGCTGTGGATGAGAGGTCAGTTTTCTCATCATACCCTCCCCTCCCACTCCCTCCCTTAGAACTCTGGGTTATAGAACTGGTCCAGCATCTCCAGGGGCTATTTCTGGTCCAGATGTGGACCACTGTTTCATAAGCTTGTCCTTTTCAATGAAATAGTTGATTCCAAGTTTGTTTTTCCCATTTTCCCCTCAAGTTCTATGATTATTACCAAAGTGCTGTCCTACTTCAATTATTCCTGTGGCAAGTCTTACTCTCTTGGTCACTTTTTATGGTTCACACTTGAACCTGTATGTTACCAACGGTTCCCTCTCCAATTCCAACCTGGAACTTTCTTGCATCCTACAGGGTCCTGGACTCTACTACGTGGATGACTATGGGACTCGGCTCTCAGGAAACATGTTCTCCACGGGTAGCGGGAATACCTTTGCCTATGGGGTGATGGATAGCAGCTATCGGCCAAATCTTAGCTGTGAAGAGGCTTATGACCTGGGCCGCAGGGCTATTGTTCATGCTACCCACCGGGACAACTATTCTGGAGGAGTTGTCAATAGTAAGAGACCAGTTCTCCCACCACCATGCCTGGCTCTGTAAGGGCTTCTGAGATTGGGAGACTCGGGGGAGGTTTTCAGTGAAGTCCCAGTAATAAGGGTTTTCTTCAGTGTAACAGCATAACAGCGACTGGCTGAAGGGAAAGGTGCATCCATGTTCCTTCTCATTGGCCCACAGTGTACCATATGAAGCAAGATGGCTGGGTGAAAGTGGAGAGTACAGACGTCAGTGACCTGATGTACCAGTACTGGGAGGCCAGTCAGTAGCAGTGGCAGCGGCTGGGCAGGCCTCCTCTGGAAAGCCTGGCTGACTCGGGGACCTGGAGCAGTTTTTGCCCTGGGAGAAGAGGGCCCTAACTTGAGCCCTGGGGGGGAGAATTGGCAGCTATGGGGCGGGGCAGAGTTTCCCCTTTTGTGTGTTCTCTCCTTCAAGGAACACTCACCTTTGGCAACTTTCTGGGTGCCTACTAAGCACAATAAAGGAAAACGGTTACAAATGAGTCTGTGTTCTGGCTGACTGGGCTTGGGGCTGTGGCTGTTGAGGGGAAGGGGGCAGGAAATAAAGAGAGGCTTTTCCTGAGAAGACACTCAAACCCTGCCTAAGAAATGGGCCTCACCAAATATTTCTCCTGGGTTTTCCTTCCACACTCATCTCTCTAGGACCTCAGGAAGGCCGATCATTGTTGTCTGCAGACACTTATTTCCAATTTAATTTGTGTGCTTTACTTGGGGACACAGGCAGAGACTTCTTTGTAGTCCACTGTTAAAAGTTTGGGGGCCTGGGAACAGGGTATCTATAACAGCTGGTTCTGACTTTGTAGAGTCAGATGAAAAAGGTTTCACCTCACATGTATGCGGTAATTGCAAACAGTATCATTTACCTGAAATAGCAGTTTAGGGATATTGGATATTGAATACAAAGATGGACTGTAGGGGTTCAATTTCGTGATGCAGCTCACTCAATTGTAAGATGACAGGCCCATGACCGAAGAGGAGGAGACGAGGAGGACGCCTTGATGTGGGGAATATGAGCAGAAAGTAACCAGGTGAGGAAAATGAGACCGACTTGATGAGAGCTTCTGAATCATCTGGAACTGCCTGAAGGAATATGGACGATGTCACCTCTCAAAGGAGAGTTAATCAAAGGAAAAACATAAAAGTGGGAAGCAGCTGAGCATGGAGTAATATTCATTAGAGAGAGGACTTTAAATTCCCAGAATGGGCAGGGTTGGAGAAATTTTAGTAATCTTCCCCCAACCAACTGTTTTGAGCTTGAAGTGAATCATTGGTAGTTACACCAATAACATTTCAAAAGGGTGGTTTGGAATTCAAGTGATCCTCCCTCTGGGAACTGTGAGTTTGGGAGGCGGTTTCAACCTGAAGAGTTATTTCTGGAGTAAACAAATCTGCATGTTCCACAGATAATCTCTGAGCTAGGAAGGATGGAAGAAGCCTGATTACTGTCCTAATCAGTGTTAAAATAGACCAAGAAACAAGTCCATTTCCCTCATATGCCCAAGGTGCTTTCAACATAGTTTGGAGCCCAAATTTAGAGGCATCTGAATATGTGCTCTGCTCAAGTCTCTGTGCTGAGGTCAGATGAAGACAAAGGCACAAGGCCTTCTCAGCTCAAAATCTGTAAGTGGAAACCTGCTCAGGCCCTGGTGCAAGTGGCTGGAGCCTTCTATGTAGGAGAGGTCCTGTGTGTTTCTCGCTCCGAATCTGGCTCTCTTTTTACCCCAGGACCCTAAAACTGGAGCTCCGATTGGGGAAGGATGCAGTTCTCAAAATAGGCTCAGAGTTTGAGGTATTAAGAGTTTGCCATAAGAAAATCCAGTGGCTCTTTAATTACAAAACATCCCAATCCTCGAAACAGCTTTATGCTACTTAATGACAATTAAAAACTGCGGTCGTTTTCTATCCCAGAGCAAGCGTTGCTAAGGGTGAGCGACGCCCTGGGGCCCTGGGAAGTGCGAGCAGGAGTCGGCGGGGCTGGGCGGGCTGCAGGTGTTGCGGGCCCCCTGCTGGCCGCCCCGCCCAGCACAGTCGCAGTGGCCGAGGAAGCGAAAGCGAAAGCGAGCGCCGGTTCGCCGTGGCTTGGAAAGAGTCGCCAGCGCTCAGAAGGGGGAAAGCAAGTACAGACTGCGCGCGAGCACTTCAGAGGTCGGTCCTCACCACTTAATGCAACTACCTCCGAAGCCGCAGTGCCGGGGCCGCCGCTGGTGAGTTCGTGCGGGTGGGAGCCTGGAGCGCTAACAGAGACCACCCCAACCTGCCACCCCTTCCGAGCTCCCTGCTTCGCGTCCCTGTGAACAGCGGGTAGTGCCAGGGAGGAGAGTCCTGGGAAGTTTCTTAAAGGATGTGGCTCCAGATGGTCGGCCTCCCCAGCTCTCTAACAGGCAGAATGCCTTCTGTCCTGGGAGGGATGTGCTGATGAGCAGGGGGTCCAGGGGATCTTTACTGGTAGGGTTGGATAAAATTAAAATCCGATGGACAGGTTGGGCGGAGTGGGAGTGAGGACAAGGATTGGGCTCCGCTTCTATAATTTTTCACTTTTGACCCATAGCTTTCACCATGTGACTCCTGGACCGGAGACCCTGGGCCTCCCTGCTGCTGGTGGACCTGGCCTTACTCTGGCCGCTTCACGGCACTCCGGGGGCTCTGCTTCCCCGAGGGCTTCTGGGATATATGGGAACACTACTGCCCCTGCTCTGTCTGGGGACCACCGTTTCTGTCCCTGCGGGCCCTGGTGATGGAGCGCTTGAGTGCTCCCCCAGTCAGAGCAGCTTCAGCCCCTTGGAGCTGGCTGCTGGTGGGGTCTGGGGCTGCAGGGCTAAGCTATGCAGTGTGGGCCATGCTGAGACCCCAGGAGAGGGACCAGGGCCAGGAGAACAGCAACGCCGTGATGTGGAGGCTGCTGAAGCTCTCCAGGCCAGACCTGCCTTTCCTCTCTGTCGCCTTCTTCTTCCTCATAGTTGCTGTGTTGGGTGAGTTAGGTCAGGGTGTTGTAAACTGGAGGTGGGAGGAGGCCCTGGTCCCAGCACATTCACCTGTTCTGCTTCCTGCCTCTTTCAGGTGAGACATTTATCCCTTACTATTGTGGTCGTGTGACTGACATTCTGGGAGGTGATTTTGACCCCGATGCTTTCGGCAGTGCCATCTTTTTCATGTGTTTCTTCTCCGTTGGGAGGTAGGTCATGGGCAATTGGGCCCCTTTGCTAGTCCCAAATCTTTACAGGGGCCCTCACTTCCTAACTCTGTTTTCAGATCCTTTTGTGCACCAAGCACAGAACATTTAAACTGAACTATGCATGGATTTGTTTATTCACTCTTCTATTTCATGCATCTGTTCACTCATTCCTTCATTCAGTTTTTACCCAACATCTTCGAAGTCTAAATGACATTAGTATAGATACATGTGTGAGTGAGGGTGGTACAAAAGGAGGGTGGGTGTCAAATGGACGGTCTCTCGGTCACCTCTCAACGTTTTCATCACCATGAGAAATTCCATGTGTCTTTTCTGTCTTCTACCTCCCAACCTAAGTTTATTTCCAAAATTATCCTCTTGTCAGGGTGGGCGTGTTTCTCTCTCCTGACCCTTTTCCCTAACTCATCTTGCCAATCTTGAAGAACTTACTCTGGAGCTTATCACTTCTTTCCAGCAGCTTTACTCTTTGCACTTCATTTGCCTGTCCCTCTTTTTAGACATACCCAGGAGTCTGCTGTCTACAAAAAAACTAACTGCTTGATAGGGTGGAGACTGGGAGGCAGGTACCTGGGCTGCAAAATTTAAGGAGGCTTCACTCTCTGGGGTGTGCAGGTGACTCCCTTGCCACAGCCTATGCCAGTCTGCTTTGTGAGACTGGCACCTTTTTTTATGGTTGCACTTCATTTAGAAAGTCTCAAGAACCAGTTCTTCATTATGCCTGCATCCCATGTTTGCTGAAATCAGTTACTCAAAAGTGAATTTCTTACTGATCAAGCCACTGCTTTAAAAAAAAAAAATCAGTCCTCAGGTCTCTTTGCTTCTTTAGCATTTGGCATTAATCTCTTATTATTGATCTCTTTCTTCAGTGAGCTTTTATGAAGTCCCTTTCTACTTCCCAATCCACCCTACCTCTTCTGAGACCTTTCCTTTTCTGGGCCCTTAAATATGGCCTTTCCTTGACTCAGTTCTTTGATTTTTAAGAACATATTTCCTTTTGGGTTCACTCAGTTCATCCCTGTGGGTGACGCCCAGATCCATATTTCCATGCCCAGCTCCAGCCTTGTTATCCAGCTGCCTGATTGACATTTCCATCAGGTGACCCATCCACATCTCACACTCCAACACACAGAGCTCAGAATGCATCTCCTTCCCTCCTGGTCTCCCTGGAGGTGGTTCCCCCTTCTTATTCCCAATAAAGCATTAGTATCCTCAAGTATCAGCATGCCGATGCCTTTCTCACAAACACTAGCCCTGTCATTTCCTACTTTCAGAATGTTTTTCCTATGGCTCCTTTCTCTAAATTCTCACTGTGATCACCACAGTCCAAACCCTAGTCATTTTATGTTTGACCATGCCAACAGCCTTCCAAACACAGTAATTTGTACTGGATGCCCATATTTTGTAATATACCCACTTTCTATGCTTTCACATTTTTAACTTAAGTTTTATCAGAAAAATTTGCTTGGTCCTAGAGGAATTCCTAACTCCAGGGACAATAGAGATGGGAAACAGCATGACTCTAGGGCTTCAGAGAATGGGAGGGTGGGGAGTTCATTACTGCAGTTCCCACAGTAAAGAATCTGGGACTAGGAAGTAGGATTCTGGAGGCAGGGAGGAAAGAGACCAGGACAGAGTGGAAGGCTGGGTGGGCAGCATCGAGGGAGGCCAGGTCAGAAGTAAGCCATAGGCTATTTCTTTTCACACCTTTTCATTTCTATTGTGTTCAGCATAGTAACCCACAAATGCTCATGCATTTGTACTTGTGATTTTGTCCTCTCACCATGTCTTCTTCTTCCTGTTTATTCCTGCCCCTCCTGTCTCCCTGTCTCTCTTATTTGTTTCTTTTCTGCCTCTCATGGTATACTTTTCCCAACTTTGTATTTCTTTGCATTCCATGCTTTCTTCTCTGCTTCTCTCTCTCCTTTCTTTCTTCCCTGCCTCTCTCTCCCCTTCATCCTCTGGCCCCTCCCTACCCTTTAGCTCACTGTCTGCAGGCTGTCAAGGAAGCTGCTTTCTCATAACCATGTCCAGAATCAACCTGCGCATCTGGGAACAACTTTTCTCCTCCCTGCTGCACGAGGACCTCGGTTTCCTCCAGGAGACTAAGACAGGTGGGGCCTGGAGTCCAGGTCTGGGCTTCCCCTGGACATCCCTTGACCCGCAGTTGCCCTCCCCTGCCAGGGCCTGGAGCTGCTTTGCCCTCTTTTGGGGCAGGGTGGCAAGGCAGCCTCTCCTGGGCTTCCTGCAAGTGAGGGAGGGTGTTAAGAGGAGGGCCTGTATCAGAAGGCCAGG